AGGCACCCGTAGACGCGCGGATGGTCGTCGCTGTCTACGCGTAGCCAAAGGATGGACAGGTCCGAACCTTCAAGTCTGCCGAGGCGTCGAGAACAGATGTCCTCTCTGACGTAAACGCAAACTCCAGCCCGAGGCACAAAGGAGTGTTCCAGTTTGTACCCCGGGCAGGAGAGATACGAGACATCAGCCGGAGAGGACACCTGCGTCTCGGTCAGAAAGAGCAGAGCCGGCCTCGCCGTCTCGAGATGGTAGTGGACGGCGTTTAGGTTAGAGTGAAGTCCCCTGATATTGCAGAAATTCACGGACAGCGTGGCAGGGGTCGCCTTGGTCTTGTTGCTCCGTTGGCCCCGAGCAGTTTTAGTCTTGAGCGGAATATTGCCCCCCCCAGAATACGCGGGGCAGCCTGAGCACCCACGCTCAGAAGTGGAGAAACATGGTCGTGGATGCTCAGCGAGGGATTCTCCAGGGGTGCTGGTACCCTCCTGGGGTAGTCTATCATTTAATTCCGCTACCATGTTGATGGGGGGGGGGGATTTGGGCCTCCGGCCACCTGCACTCACCAGACGAAACACGGAAGCAGAGCTTCCACTTCACGCCGGTATTCTGTGAGGTCGTGGTACCACCCCGGTTTGAGCCGGCCCATACGTGCGACAGCAAAGCTGCCGCGTGGCTCTACCACTGTTGATACTTAGTAAAATATACTTGAGTAACAACTTCTTCGCCTTGACCATTTCGTTCGGGGAGAGAACGCTGCGACAGTCTTCCAAAAGTGTGGTCACTCTCGTTTGTGCATCCTTACTGGGGGTCCCACTCGATAGATATTGGCACCGACGTAACCAATCAACTTCCTCACAAGTACCAACCAGTGTGCCCTTTTCTATAATCTGTTCCTGGTCACAAAGGTTCAGCACACGTACTCCTGAGATGTCAGTGGTTCTGACCAAGGTTCGAGCTACTTTCCATGGAAGGTCATTGTTTACCCTTTCCACAAGTACACAACGGTGAGCTTGCCCAGCTTTTCGAGGAAGACTAACCGGCACAATCGTTTCCGATCTCGGCGGAAGAACAATCTTCTTAATGCTGTACACGTTCCCTGGTAACGCACCTTCCATAAAAAGTTCCTCCAATGTGGACAACATTTCAAAACACCTTGCTTAACGTCGATCTCACAACAATTATTCCTCATAAAGTCTAGGCCAAGGGTGCAGTCGTCCATTATATCAGCCACGATGACATTATGCAGGTAGATCACGTTGCCTAGCTTCAACTCCATCTCCTTTTCTCCACGGACGGGTATACGCTGACCGGAGGCTGTTACCAAATTAATGCGTTCTCGGTTGTATGCGGAGTCCCCAAGAAACTGACTTATAAGTTGGGAACTAACAACCGTACGAGAGGCTCCAGTGTCTATGGTCAGTTTACACGGCATTCCGTCGACCTAGCTCGCCCTTGATGATTAGGCTGTTCCCATCATGGGTTTGTGAGACCGATATCCTTGGGGCTCTTTTAACATCAGCCAGCACCCGCCCCGCAGTTCTGGCTTTTACTCGTTTCCCTGCTGCTGCTGGGCGGGGCTGTTAACCGCACCACCCTCCTGATATCGTTCACCTTCCCTTTCTACGGTTCGCTTAGGGCAGCTGGATCGAGGATGGCCCCTTTGCCCACAGCCATAGCACCAAGGGCTGTATCTTTTATTGCGGTCGCGAACCGTAGCTGCAACCTCCCTGACACGGTGGGAGCGAAGATCCTGCCGCACGGCTTCCACCTCCAGTGCATGGGCCAAGGCGTCCTTAAGCGTCTCGTGGTGCCCGAGCCTCACAGCAGCTCTGACCTCAAGGTCGCGGATGCAGTCGATGAATGTCTGCACCAGGTTCCCTTCAATGAGCACAGGTACAGACTGGTAAGCTTTTTGAACCATCTTCTCCACCTCAAGGGCCCACTGCTGCAGGTTTTCGTTGCTGCGTTGCACGCGATCTTTGAACTGCGCATGAAAGACGTGTTCCAGATGAGCGTCGCCATATCTCGCCTCCAATGCTTCAAGGAGCTGCTCGTAGGTCACTTTCTTACCGAGAGCTTCCAACACAGTTCAGGCTTGGTCGCGCAGGCCTAGGGTAAGTGCAGTCATGGCCTGGCTTTTATTCTAGCCGTTCGCCTCCATGACAGCCTCGAACTGGATTTTGTAGGCTGACCAGGAAGAAGTCCCGTCAAACGGCGGTACTTTGAACCCACGTAGCGAAGGTGTTTTAGCTACTACGGAAACTGTAATTCCATCCTCCAGTTTGAGGTCGTCCAGCGTTTTCTTCACGTCCGCCATCACGTTGTCAACCCGATTATTCACTTGGGCGATTCGGGTTTCAGCTTTCTCGATTCGGGTTTCAGCTTTCGCGATTTGGGTTTCAACTTCCGACAGGCGGTTGTCATGCTGAGCAACCTTATCCTTCACCTCCTTTATCTCCTTCCCGAAGGTAGCGTGAAGGTCCTTTATGAGGAGCATCTGCTCCTCCAACCGACGGGCCTGTTCCTCCTGTCGGCGGGGCTGTTCACCCTGTCCGCCCCGCAGCTGCTCTTCCAATCGACGGACCTATTTCTCCTGTCGGCGGGCCTATTCATCCTGTCCACCCCGCAGCTGCTCTTCCAACCGACGGACTTGTTCCTCCTGTCGGTGAGCCTGGTCCTGCAGCATCACCGTCAGAGCACCTAAGTCAGGTGCTGCTAATTCAGGCCTGCAGCCGGCGGCTGGCCCTCCGTCTGCGGCGTTGCACCAATAAATCTTCTTTGATCCGTCTCCTGCTGGCGTTGACTTCGGGTACGGACACCCTCCGTTTCCTCCTTAGGTAAAATCAGCATGATTTAATCCCATTTCTGACACCAATTGTTATGAGCTTGAGGTTCGTGACAATAAAAACTGCCGATTGAATTACCAAAATTAACACTTTAATCACCGAACACCAATTAAAACTTAAAAACACTAATAATTAATCACACTGGTTTACTTTATTTCGCTCCGAAGCTTCGCTTGTCTCGCCAAATTCAATACTGCCCCGATCGCGTCTTGCAGCGCCTTTAAATACACATTTCCGACCGAAACATCCAGAATATTCCGGTAGATACGGGCACCGACCGACCAGACGCAGAAAGTTCGAATGTAGGGCTCCTAGAAAGCTTACTTAGGCGCGCAACAGTATTTATAAAAAAATAATAGAATTATAATGCTAGTATAATACTGCTAATTCAGAGACATGGCTGAAATTTGAGTTGTGATTGTGGTCGATATGATAGATCTGATGGTTATGCCGGATATTCTTTGCTTATAAAGAATAATGTAGCTTATTCCATTATAGATATTTACGATAAAATATATGACTTTAATATTGTAGCAGTAAAAATTCAAAATATTACTTTCGTTTCTATTTATATTCCCCTTCTATCCATACGTTTCGCACAGTAAAATTTTTAAAAGCCTTCATAAAAGATATCAGCAAGAATTAGAAATGGTTTGGGGAACCAAGCCATTTCTAATTCTTGGTGATATATTTTAATTCTTTATAACATCCCCCATTTATTTAAAAAACTTTAGTACAAGTCACTTCATGTTTTATTAGTTCTTAACATTCTGATTTCGGTTTTTAATCAGAATCATAGTTTTCCTTTATATTGTTCGTTGTTTTCACAGACCACCCAGCCTACTAGTGCAGGCTACCCAGAAGGCTGGGTGGTCTGTGATTGTTTTATTACAAGTATTATTTATTCACTGGAGATTGGCGGTAATTATTAAGTTGCACAAAAATAGGAATACATTTTATAATTTTTTTTGTGTTTAGTTATTTTTGTGAGCAGCAGGTGTTGCTGTTACCTATCTCTATATTGTTTGTGAAATTTTAATGTTTATGTTATAATTTTTGGCTTTTCTTGTAGGAAATGGTTGACAAGCGAGTACACAGTCCACCTGATGGTAAGTGGTTGCTATGGTCCACAGACATCTACATCTATCCTCGTTTGCGAATCAAAATGAAGATGCGTTGTCAGCCTTGAGGACTAAGATGGAATGCCTCTTTCTTCATAACTATAAGATAAGGAAGGATATAAAAAATAAAAATTATAGTACTTATGCAGTATATTAGCCCTGTAGTGGCGGCGTATGAGAATCCACTAGCCTATATCATCCTGTGGGTGTCCTGAGAGGCAACAGAGGGAATAAAACAGTAGGTGGACAAACAGCGTCTTCCTGATTACAACACAATATAAAAATACATTTTTGCGGTTCACACAGAGTAAAAGTGAAACCTTATTTATATTTTATTAATAAAAAAATTATTATCTATTTTTTATCATTAATTTATTGAGACCGACATAATAGGAAACACTGTACATTATATTCGACATCATTCTCTCGCAGGTTAAATCCTATAGATTTATATGTTTGTCTCTTTTTAGTGTCGCTTTTTCGTTTTAACGAGTTTCAAATCACAAAGATTCTAAGAAGTTTTCACTTCAAAAAGTCCGGTTGCCAACCCGCCTGCAAAGTCTGACAACTATTACCTATTAGGTACCAAGTGGCTGCCCCGTTGGTCTAGTCATAAGCGCGACTCCTGGTCATGTGGTCCCGGGTTCGAATCCCGATTCGATTTAAAATCAGTTAGTGAACTTTTCTGTCAAGCGATTCGCAGCAGCAACCCGGAGTTACGAAGTTGGGATGCTTAAAGCTGTTGTTACTGCGCCTGATCTCTCTCTGGTCGTGTCGGATTGCTGCTCCATCGGACTATGAGTGCGAGGGAATAGGGAGGGGACTGACTTGGAGCACTCACTCGTGCACTATAATCTTGTTCGTACGTGGCTAATCTCCGTTGAGACTGGCCGTCGTAACTGAAAATTTCATCAGATAGTAACTATGATATTAGAATAAAGAATTTATCTATATATAATATATATAAAAGATATTTATCTATAGTATTTTAATAGTCTGCAATGAATGAATAATGAAATATTATATTTTAGTGGGTATGTTTTATCTGTGGGTGTGTGCGGCTAATTTACCTATAGTAATAAATGAGAAGAAACATGACGAACAAGCTGCGACCATTGCTAAATTACATCAACTTTTGAAAGCAAACAAGGCCAAGACATTCATGGGCTTAGATGATACTTCGGGGTTGGTTAATAACGACTACTCGTACCATAGCAATGTATTTGTCGTACCGAACAATATACCAGGGAATAAAGATGTGCGTCAGACCGTCCGAGGTTTTAAAGTTTCAGTGCCGTACTACTCATCAGGCTTTAACAGTTAAAATAATTAAGTAATCAATGCAATGTAAAAATTGTGCAAATTTCTCTCCAGATGATATTTTATTATGTATAATTCAATAAAGAGGCATTAATTAACAAAATTGTTTTATTTTATTCTCAAGTGTATCTTTTATTTTATTTTATAGAATAAGTGTAATAAATGAGCACACAGTTCACCTTATGGTAAGTGGATGCTGTGGCCCATTACGTTTATTATCAATTAAGAATCAAAATACTGATGCGTTGTCACCTCTGTGGACAGATGGGATGCGTCGTTTCCAGAAAAATGGGTCTCCGGTACTCTACACTCACCATAAGATCATGTTTATTATCAGTTAAAAAATCCGTTAGCCGTTAATTTTGATTATTTCTTCCCGTTGTCAACCACGCTGTCCCGTCAAATCTAACGGGAAACCCGTCAAGATGGCAACACTGGTATGCATGCCGTACTACGCACTGGCAAGTAATGCCAGTGCGTAGTACCTGCTACGCGAACGATGTAACGAAGTATGTGGGATGCGACGGTATCACCAACATGGCCATAAAGCAGCTGCCCAGAAGGGAGATTGTGGAACTCTCCAGGCTTTTTAACGGCGTTTTAAGAACTGGCTACTTCCCGACCATCTAAAAGCAGGGGAAGATCGTCGTGCTACAAAAGCCGAGTAAGGACTGGGGGTACCCGACTAGCTACCGCACCATAACGCTATTACCGCTCATAGCGAAACTTTTTAAAAACTCACCTTAAAAAGATTACTGCCGCACGTTGTTCTGCGGGAGGAGCAATTTGGCTTCCGCAGAGCACATTTAACCACAGCCCAATTAGCCGCGTGTTGAGCAGGCCGCTACGTCAGAAATTACATAATAGCCAGAAACTTCAAGATGGAGTCGATACATGAGTTTGTGGCCCGTACTGCTAGAGACGGTTGTTCAACCGCGCAATTAACGGGACACACCCACACCTACAAAACCTTGCACCCCTACACCGCACCCACCTGACGGGCGACCACTCCCACGAGAACTTCTACGCTCACCGCCCGGCGAGGGAGCCGCCGGGGACTAGTGACTTTTCCCGACACCTGACTTAATGGCGTGGAGTACGCAACATCCTTACCAACAAGCTGCGTAGCAGCACTCAGGACCGGGGGAGCCGTGCCCCTCGCGATGATGCCCAGGTAGAGAGGGATGCCTCGGTGCCTCCAGGCCCTCCTGTCCCTAGAAGGGGGACGAAAACGAGATGAAATACTACTCGCAAATTCGCTGCGTCTCCCTTTCCTCAAGGGGGGTCGCCTCCGATACGACAATAAGGCCTTACCAGGTCAAATCCAGTCTCAGGTGATGTTCAGTGGGTAGACAATTAGGTTTCTAAGTGAGTCCCACATAACCACACAGCCGGCTGCGCGGTATGCTTAGAACATTCACCACCTCCCTCACCCGCTTCCCGGAGGGTAGCTCTTTACTTTGCTTCTGAGCGTAAAAACACAGCTACAGTTACCTTATACTCGAGAAAGAAAATAGTGTAAAGTTATCTCATTTGTCAAAGCGGTTAAAACTAATTGCGGTTTGATTCCCAGTGTCAATCCTATAAGTTAGGGAAACTGAAGTTAACATACAGTTCACATACTCTGGTGTCTCGACTGGGACCTAACGTAGGACCCGTAATCTTAGGCATCAACCACCTTTTACGACAGGCGGTGTGTGTTTATAAATATAACGTTATCGAGGGATACGCCCACTGCGTTGATTTGAACTTAACGTAGTGTGGCTTAGGCAAGGGGTTAGTCAAAACAACTACGTTCCCGTTTAATTGGTCCTTCATCACCGGATTGACCCATTGGACATTCAGAAACCATTCCGCTCTTGTTCAACTGAATACCTTAATAGATATAAATAATACCTTTAACCTACCTTACATTGAACAATAAGATTGTTATTGCCAGCAAATTACTAATACATTATTACATGACACCTCGGTGTGTTCTACTACTAACTAATATCAAAGGATTCAATTTGTTTTCTCACAACACCTAACCCTAAAGTAGGAGCGACCTTAAAATAGGCGCGTAACGGTCTAACTGATATAGACATTTTGATTTATTACGCTTTTTTATTTATTAATAAATTATTTTCGACGACGCTATCAGCGTGATTCTTCTCTTCCTTGAACTATTATTTATTCTGTGATTTTACTTACATATTTCACTAACTCTCTCTCTCTCGCTCTTCGCCTTGTTATCGAAGCAGTTCTGAAACATCTATTGCTGGTCTATTGGCCGGAGTGGCTAATTGACTACTTTCCGTTGCTTCATTTTTGGCGTGCTAGTAACTTATCTACCTTTTTAAAAGCTTTTATTTAACTAGCAATGTTTGTTCGTTAGGTTCAAATATTGCAACAGAATTGAAGACATAAGTGGATGAAGGTGTCGCATTTTCAGGTTTTGGTGTTGTTTTGCATTTTGATTTTAGACCCCAAAACTATCGATTGAAGACGTATTTTAAAAATAGGAAGTTGATAAAGGTGTTATGTTCAGTTAAGTTTGAAATTGGTACTGGATGAAAGAGGTATGAGCCCATATGACTTACCTTCTTGATAAATAAAATAAAAGTTTTGTTTTGTTGTCGTGGAAGAAATTGATATGTACGAACATAACACTTTCTTCCACTCAGCGAACGATAATCGAATGACACATCACTTCTCCGTGAATGAAGGTGTTTTGTAACATACATATCACCTTCATTCGTTCACGTCGGTCAATTGTTTTGATTTTCGTTCTGTCAATAAAATTATCACATCATTTTTTCATCATTTCAGTATACATAAAGGTACTCTGTGTATTACATTATCGCGGGCTTTCTAAGAGTGTGTATTGTAGCGTGTGTTGTGTACAAAAGTATTATTTATAATAGTGAATTTCCGTTGGCGAGGTGGAAAAGTAATGGCAGGAGGAAAAGCAAGGGCAAAATTATTACTGGAAGCAGCTGTCGGTCACTCTATAATAGCGGATCGCGGAAGTGTTGAAGTTGGAAGCGCACTTCTAAGATTTTTGGAGGTTGTCAAAAACAAAGATCATTTATTAATCTGGTCGGATTCATGTGCCGGACAGAACAAAAACTTTGACATGATTGCACTGTATCAATACCTTATATTAAAAGGATATTTTAAGGTAATAGACCACAAGTTCCCTGAGGTTGGCCATTCTTATTAAAACTCGAATTGTGATTTCGGTAGGATAGAAAAAAAAACATAAGCATAAACACTCACGCCTGTCACACAGAGGTATTCAGAGACTACAGACTTCCATTTGGCACGATCCTGACACACCTCTCTCGCCTTCTCTACATCCATATACCTACGCATACATGGTCGTCGGTTAAGGGTACTCCTAATTTGGCTCGTTTTCAATATATCGCCAATTCGGTCGATAAACTTTCGCCTAGGACGTCCCTTTCCGACTCTTCCGTTCACTTCTGCAACATACATTTTCTTTGTCACTCTTTCCTCATTTATTCTTCCACATGACAAAACCACCGAAGCATTCCTTTCTTAATCCTGGTCACAACATCATCTTGCAAACCACATTCTTCTCTTATCGCATAATTTCTCACCCTGTCATTCAGATTCAGCCCTAACATACTCCTTAACGACCGCATTTCTACTGCGTTTATTCTACTCTCCTGCTTCTTCTGCCATACCCAAATTTCGCTACCATATGTTAAAGTAGGGACCAACACAGCATTGTGAATTGCCATACGTGCCTTTTTTGACATATTCAGTCTCTTCACAATAGAGTGTAGGGCCCCATTTACTCTATTTCCTGCGTTCACTCATCGTTCTATATCCTTATCATATCTCCCACCCCTGCTAAATACGCGTACCAAATATACAAACTCATCTACTTGCTCAATAAACTGATAGAAACGATAGAAAAAGTCCTTAGGAACCACGATACAACTTACGTTCTTGAACAATACAGGAATATTATATGTAAAGCTACCCGAAATATTAGTCATTGATATGAGCGCGCATTTCAGTGTCATTTGTTGAGTTACAGGAAAACCCTAATTTGTTTAACAGAAAAAAAAGATGTAAACAATGACAAAGTAAGTTGTAGGGACGGTATTAAATGGATACGCGTAGATGAATATAAGGTTCCTACCTATATAAAGAAACATACGATGAAATGACACCCTTCAAAAAGTTGGATATTTTAAAAAGATCTCAGTTGCGCAATTCTGTGGAGACTCCGCGTACGAACGGAAAATATGGTACCGTATCAGTAGAAAAAAATATCGGTACTTCTATGAGCCGATTTTAATTGAAAAATAGTATTATTTTGATCTGTTTTATTTTATTGTCAAGACTGATCTCTATTTTATTAGCTTACGTTTTTATTTATAATGTTTTAAGGAATATTTAAGTAATGTTTACCTTTTTGTAATACTTTAAGTACATAATGTTACTTAACACCTAATTTGAAATAGCTAAAATCCCAAAATGTTTTAAAAATGTTAGTGAAAGAAAGAGTTATGTTCAGTTTTTTCGAAATTATATATCATAAAGTATTACATGTTTAATTGCTCAAGTAGCCTAATTTAAGTTTGTTTATCCAACTTTGCAATATAGTTTAAATCAAAAACCAGTTTTCTAACAACTTGTCTCAAAAAACAAAAGCGAAACTTCAATCATGATTTACTCAAAATTAGTAGAATGCGAGTTATCACCTTCATCCGCTTACGTCTTCAATTATAGAGCAGTTATCCTCAACCGATTGTGCCGAATTTTTGCATACATGTTTAGTTTGGATGACAAAGCAGGTTAGCCAAGTGACGTCATACTAAATACAATATGGCGGATGGCTCAATATGGGGCACTAGTTATTTTTATATTCAGCGCCTTTGTTTTTCTTTGCTCACGAATTACGCATATTAATTACGACTAACAAGGTACAACCGATTGAATTTGAAGCACATCGCTTGCGCCGATTTTTTTTTAAATAGAGTGGTTTCGAGTATTTAACTCTTTTATTTTCTACCCTCTATCTCCGACATAATATAAGGCTCTGTAGCGCAGTGGCTTTGCAATAGCCAGCAGCGCTGAGGGCCGCGGGTTCGAAGCGCCCACGGAACAAGTATTTGTTTTTATTGACAAATAAGATAGATTACTGTATATCTGCATAAAATAGTATATTAAAGTAGTAGTTAACCTTTATGTTTACAGTTTCAAATGTGAAGAAAATAATAAAAAGTGTTTTAGTTAATAAGTAGTTTAATTAATTCAAACGACGTTTAAATAATGCACAATTATTAACACATTGGCAGGACATAAAAGATCTCCAGTTATATTTCAATTTTTATAAGAATTTCTTTTACCTTTAAGTACTATTAAACATATCAACTTCATACTTTACACCTTTCGTTTTTGTACATTAGGAATACAAACAATGATAACAAACACCAAATAATAAAGCATTACTAGCGAAAACACCTAAAATAATCTTAAATCGGTAGACTAGACTGAACTGACTTGCATAGCGGTGAAGCGAGAAGTTGTTGTTTCCAAATCTAACGAGTCGGTAGTGACCTGAGAACGAGTGTCAGAATTCTCTCCACTGTTATGAATTGAAGACAAAGATATTTCGTCTTTCAGGCTGCTGTTAACGTCGAAAGAACTGTCTAAGGCATTAGTTTTTTGCTGTGAATCCACCATGTCGCCACCACCGCTGCTCAGCGAATTCCATATGCCTTTAGAAGAATCTTTACCAGGAAGTTTTTTCTCATTCGTCGCTACCGCTTTCTCTTTCCCATCTTTCGATTTTTTTCCCAATACAGGAAACTTAGGTTTGGAACTACGAACAACTGCGCCTCGTTGTATAGGTGCCGCGTCTGTTTCACCTTCTTCGGTAATTGATGTAAGCATGTCTGGCGATTCTGTGGGCGCCACTTGCCCTGTCTGTATAGGAATATCGTCTGTAATATAAGTAAAATAAATTATATATAAATAATAAAAAATAAATAGATATCTTTAAATAGTGGTTACAGTAAATTTAATATTTTTATTCAAATCGTAAAACCTAAAATTAACTTATCATTAAATTACAAGATAACAAAGTTAAACAATGTCATTAGTTTAATAATATGTATAAGTAAACTAAATATCAATGAAATTTGTTGATTTACCACGTGCTCGGCGGTGAAGGAAAACATCGTAAGGAAACCTGCATGTATAAGAAATAAGAAAATTTTTTTTCGAAGATATGTGAAGTTCGCCAACACGCATTGGGCCAGCGCGACGGACACTTCCTTGCCCTAAAACCCTCAGAAATGAGAGGAGGCTTGTGCCCAGCAGTAACAAGCTAAATATATTAAATGGGCTGCAAAATCTAATGCATTACACCTAATAGTTTAGGTTACACATTTTAAATTTATTTTCTGTAGAAATAATTTCAAATAATTTTGTAGGCATACCTGGAAATAAAAAAAACAAAAATTTAGGGAGTAATCGTGGAGAAATAACTTTTTGGATTTCAAAAATGATACAGTTAGTTTTTCAATCTGTAATTGAAATATGTTAGTGAAAAGTAAAAAAATAATCAGGCGTAAAAAGTTCTTTAATAAAACGTGTAAATATGTTGACCAATAGATGCAAAATACCTAGAATTATCGATCCGTATTATTTTAGAACTTCAGTCTAGTCTAGTCTTTTGTACGCATGATATATGGATCTCGACAACAGCGCCATCTACCGGGTCCATTTGTGAATCAAATTTTTTTTCCAATAAACTTTATCACATCCTCAAATAAAATTTCCTCAGAATCGGTCCAGGCGTTTAGATGTTCATTCACATACACGTGGACAGAATTATGTATATAAAGGTAATCATACTTGCAAGACATGTTGGAACTAGATGGATGCACGTAGCTCAGGGCCATGTTTGACATTCCTTGTGAGAGGCCTAGACTTCAGCACTTCAGCAGTGGACTTGTGATAGGCATATTATACAGGATGGCGCTACGTTAAACACAAAGACTTTTATAGTCACTACTAAGTGGGCTTGGTACAAATGTGTGGTATGTCGATAATAAAAGAGTGGAGACTGGTTGGTTAGTCGGTTAACTAAGAGAGGGAGGAATAAAGTAATGTAACTCCTGCGTCTCCTATAAGAAATACGAGGTGCTCGCTATTCTGCGCCTGTGCTCATGAGTGTTAAGATTCGCTTTAACCAGACTGAGATCACCAATAAGCATCTTAACTTGCCTATCCATTAAGTCCAAAGCTGCTAGGTGACATTTTGCAGCACTATTCCATGCACGACCGGACGTGCCCTTTATACAGAGTAAGTAGTTGTCCTGGCGTAAAGTATCGCCGCACCTTTGCAAGGGCAATCAGCTCCCTTGCAGGTGATTTGGCCTTTGAAACCCAGATTCGAGGAAATCTTAAACCCTAACAACTGAAGGCGCTTAGTATATTCCAATGCTACATATCGGAAAGCAGCAAAGGTGAGCTTGCCCCATATTTCAGTGGACACGCTCACTCTCTCATAGGCATTTAGTTCTCAGGGGCGACAACGCATCTGCATTTTGATTCTTAATTGCAGATAAATGAAGTTGTCTATGGACCACAGCATCCACTTAACATCAGGTGGCCTGAGTGCAGATGTACTAGACGAAGTTAGTAGAATTTGGAGACAAGAAAAAGTATACATAGTACCGATTGTGTTATAAAATACAGCAAGTAATAGTACAGTACAGTAATCCCATAAAATATTCAGAATAGCTTAAATCTATTAAAAATAAAAGAGAATAAATGCATACAACTACAGAAAGCCGCCAAAATATGTGACGTATTGTGAGATTTAGAAATAGATGAAAACTAAGTAACGCCCAATATCACAGAACACACAACTCAAAAAGTTAATTTGCTTTTTACTTGCCTTACACTCGTAATCATTATCATTAATATCGGCCGCAGAGCTTAAAAAAAAAGATATCGGAATAACAATAATTGTGCAGTCGGTTAGCGCTTGCCAAGAGAACTAAGCGCCGTGCTTCGACAAAATTGTGGGAGCTAAGGTCCGTTTGTACATATGGCCGCACCATAATAAGTGCGGTACATGAAGCGTATCCAGTTCGAAGCCCACAAATGGAATGGTTCATAAATGAAAGCGCACTAGTTCGCTGACTCGACGTAGCAGGACGCGAGCTGAACGTGGCAGCATGTCGAAAGCGAGGTTCTGCACGAAATTCAGCAGCCCGTCGCATACATTATTCCCACCAACTGGGTTGATATCGGCAGTCTTTACGGACCCAGCAATAGACACCCGCCACAACACAGAGTACGGACACATTCGATGAACAACTCAAATGAATGAGAACGCATTGCGGGCGTACTTAAATGGAAAGGAGAAGATGGATGTTTTGCGGATCAGTCTAGAATACAACGCTTTTTTATTGAACCATGGCTGGAGATTTATACGAGTTACAAAGCCATCCGCATACGTATGAGGGGAGGTCAAAAATTCACGGATTGGCGGGGTTGGCAAGGGTGACTTTACTCATCCAGGTACTGTTAGTATATATACCAAGTTTCAGCTTAATCGGGTCATTACCTTTTGAGTTATCAATGAGTAAACAAATCAATCGAGAAGGAACTAGCGACTATGAAGAAAATTGAATATCGTGCCGTCATTAGGTTTCTCACCCAAACAAGGAAAGACACCTCAAACCATTTTTCAAGACATGTCAGTTGTTTACGGGGACTCCGCTCCTGGGAAAACCATCATTTATAAATGACGCGCCTCTTTTAAACAAGGGAGGGACTCCATTGAAGACTACCCCGACCTGGAAGGCCGATTGCGGCTACCATGCCAGAAATAATCGAATAAGTTGAAAAACTTGTAACGGAAGATGCCCGGCTAAAGAAAAACCGGCTTGCAACATTACACCTTTGCATGACTAAAGTCTGTGCAAGATTTGATTGATTGAAGTTGATCATTTTTTTCTCGTGAAGATATTACGTTAAGATATATTATATATTATTATAATATTTCATGAATTTTTGCTTAAACACGTTCGGGGTCTCTGTAGCCAGGCCAACTATCATTGATACGGTTGATACGGTGGTAGCTACGCCCCTGATATTAACGTCTCCTTTCTTTTGGATGAGTTACACTGATACGTTTCAACGAAAGGCTTTACGATTTTTTCCGATCCGTGACAGACAGAACGTGAAATTTTCATGCAGTTATTCCACCAGGAGATATATGCGTAACTTCATTTCGAGTATAAATAATGCATATGTGTTATTAACACCCAAAGTGCTTTACAGATTATTTTTTAAAGTGAAAACTTCTTTAGCGGCACGTGACTGATCGAAAATGCGTAAGACGGATGGAGGGAAAGAGACAACCGGCGCGGCGTAGGAGAGGAAGTATCCCCCTCTCTTTCTACGGCGCCTGCTGTGTCGTTTAGTTGTGTACGATAGCGCAATAAATAAATATTGTATTCTACCACATAAATGATAGTACTTTTATACTGATAATTAAAGAAATTCGTGCGAAATTATTCCCTAACCATTCCAAAATATCAAAAATGCACAACGTTAATATTCAAGTTTTCGCTTCTGCCGGCACTCCCGGGTGCAACCCATCGTTTTTTTTAAATACATAATGTGCTATTTAATTTTGTTTCTTATTTTAAGCACTATCTACAGAAAAGTTTATTTTAATCCAGGGCCAATGTTATAAATTTTTAACTGTAAAAGCCAGTTTTAGAAATACCATAACTTTTGATTTCCTGTAGAGAATGGAATACTGCGTATTTTGATACATATAGATATTATATTTGAAAAAATTTTTGTCGTTTTTTTACAATACATTAGTAACAAATATATCAATAAATTGAGTTGATATGAATAGTATGCTTTTATGTAGCCCCTTACGAAGCTCTAGAGCAGCGGTCCTCAACCCTGGGGTCGCGACCCCTGTGGGGTCGCGAATGATATTTACGGGGTCGCCAAAAAAGTCAAAAAGGTCCTGTATTTATCGAATTTTATTAAGGTTTATGCGTAAAATATAACCTCTCTTTACATACACAATTACACAATGTCCTTAAAACGGAGAGAATCGAAAATAATTACGACTGTACGACCTGTCCAGTCCCACCGCTCTTTCTTCGTTCAGTCTGTCTGTTCAGTCAGTTCTATCCGCACGTGCGTACTCATCGCCGCTTTGTCGATTGCAAATACATACTAAATTGATGTCAAAACACGGAAGATTACTTCTGTAGAAAGTTTTTTTTAGAAGATTAGTGTTCTCGTGGATAACCACGCACACGGTAAGTAACTGTGCACTCATACTTGAAAATAAAGTGAGGCGTCATCGCAGCGCGGCCATGTTGGACGCGCGGGTTCAATAACAAAACCAGCGCGAAATATTTTTTACGCTTCACTTATGTATTTTTAGGGTTCCGTTTGAGAAACAAGGAACCCTTATAGTTTCGTCAAGTCATGTTTGTCATTCATACAAACACTATGAAAAACAAAGTTACAACTAACATCCAGTCATATCATTACTTGCTACCACGGAAACCTTCATGGGCGAGTCCGACTCGCACTTGGCCACTTTTTTTGCTTGTCTATTTGTGCTGCGTTGAAAATAAATTTGAAGTAAATCCTGTTACCACGCGAGCATATGACGAAAAATCTAATATTAATAGTTTGGAATACATTTTTTATTTATTAATACGTATTTATTATTGCAGTTAACAATGGATAAGTGGCTAATAAAACGCACATTTACAGATGCAGGTGGCGGAAGTACTAATAACGGATCACAAATCAAAAGAATTAAACACGTAGTTCTTGACAGCAGTGTCGCCTCAGATTCTACAATGACAACTACTGTTACGAGTAATATAAGTCGTGAGACCAATGCCACCACTTCAAGTACTAGTAGTGTTATTACTATCGATGAAAGCAGAGAAACATCTAGTTCCACTACTATAACTATTAGTCATAACAGCGATGATTGTAGTTGAACAGCCACATCTACCTTAAACATCGATACAGAGAGTGACGCTTCAACTTCAACTAAACAAGCAACAGCTACATCGGAGACAACTGGGAAGCGTCAACGCATCTTTAAAGAATCGTACATCCAGTTTGGTTTTAAATGTACAGTGTTGAATTTTGAACAACGTCCACAGTGCGTTGTTTGTTCGGAGGTTTTGGCAAATGAGAGCATGAAGCCGGCCAAACTGAAAAGGCACCTAGAAATTAAGCATCCACAGTTAAAGAATAAAGATGAATCTTATTTTAAACGACTTGCCACCAAACTAAAGTCACAGCAGGTTGATTTCCAAAAATATACAACAGTTAACCAAAAAGCCTTACAAGCATCTTTCGAGGTTTCCTTTTTAATTTCCAAAACTAAAAAACCTCACAACATTGGCGAGACGCTCATTTTGCCAGCTGCAATGAAAATGGGTTTCGATCATGCAAGGAGAAAAGTATGCCAATTTACTGAAAACAATTCCACTATCAAGTGACACTGTTCATCGTTGTATCAATCTACTTGCTGGTGATATCAAAATAAAACTTATAGATCGCGTGAAAGGGAGTCCCTATTATGCTATTCAGCTGGATGAAAGCATTGATGTAACTAATGTAGCTCAACTTCTGATATTTATCCGATACCGATATGAAAACGACATACGCGAAGATTTGTTATTTTGTCAGGGATTAGAAGGAAGAACAACCGGTGAAGCAATTTTTAATGCAGTTAATACATTTTTTGAATTCCATGACATAAAGTGGGAATATTGTGTATCTGTGTGTACAGACAGCGCAGCTGCATTGACCGGCTCCAAAACAGGATTCAAAGCAAAAGTAACTGAGATTGCACCTCACGTAGGCTTTGTTCACTGTATGATTCACCGTGAAGCCCTTGCAGCAAAACATTTGCAACCAGATGTAAATAAAGTGTTGGAACAAGTCGTAACAATAATAAATTTTATTAAAGCTCGCGCATTAAACAGTCCCCTTTTCAAAATAATGTGTCGTGAAATGGGATCAGAATACGAAAATCTACTATTACATACGGAGGTCAGGTGGTTATCGCGAGGAAAAACACTCCGACGTGTATTTGATCTCAAAGATGAAATCAGAATATTTCTACTTGAACGGGAACCAAAGCTAGCGGAATATTTTTTGAATGAAAATTGGTTAGCAACAGTTGGCTATCTTTCGGATATTTTTGAAAAACTTAACGATTTAAATCAATCGTTCCAAGGGAATAGTACAAATGTATTGATTTTAGCTAACAAAATTAAAGCTTTTTGTAGAAAAATAAGTTTGTGGATAGATGAAATCAGTGCTGACAACTACGAGATGTTTGCATGTTTGGAAAAATTTTCTGAAGAAAACAATATAAAGCTCGAAGAAGAAATTAAAACCAAAATCATGATGCATCTTACAAACCTTAAGCAAGACTTGGAAATAAGATTCCCAGATACGTAACACGGCGACGAATGGATAATTAATCCATTCACTTGTGATCTTAACACTGTGAAGATGAACTTAAAAGAAAAGGAGCAGCTGATCGATTTAATGTCCGATGAAAGCCTTCAATCTATTTTCAAAACCACGGATCTATCCAAGTTCTGTATAATGACGGAAAAGGAATATCCATTCGCATCTACATACCTTTGCGAGACAGCTTTCTCCACATTAACTGCTATAAAAACAAAATATCGCTCCAGACTTAACGTAGAACCTGATTTGAGGGTGTCTGTTTCTGATAATCACCAAGAATTAATATACTGACTGCAAGCGTGCAAGCACAAGGTTCACATTAGATTGTAAGGTTACGTATATGTACCTTCTTTTTTAAATAAAATATTAAAATAATTGCTTGTCTCATTTAATGCCATCATAAATATTACTCGTATGTTAAATGCATATTTTCTAGTTTTGTCTAATATTACTTTCCAAAATAAATAAACTCCAAAACAAAATAAATAATTTACGAAATAAAAACAGCTAACTTCGTTACCTGAACCAACCTTTGCACTTGTTAACTTAATGATTTTTTTTCTGGGGTCGCTCATAACTCTTTTTTGAATTTTGGGGTCGCAATATCAAAAAGGTTGCGGACCGCTGCTCTAGAGTACGAGCGTAATTGCTTACTACGACTAGGTTCGTCGCGCGTTCATTCTAGTGGTGGGTAATCATGAGGTTGTCATTATTGAGACATTAATTAACAAATTCCTAATAATAGTTTACTAATGGAATGTAAAGTTACAGCCTATATACATCCCACTCCTGAGCACAGGTCTTCTTTCATTTCTGATAGGGTTTCAAGGTAAGGAAATGCAGCAATGCAGGTTGTTGCTCTTCGAAAAAAAAATTTATTTCTTAGACATGCAAGTTTTCTCACGTTATCTTTCACCGAGCACCTGTTAAATCAGCTCTTAAAATTGCAATTAACAATTCCATTGGTGTCGGCGGGGATCGAACCCGGGTTGCTCGCGTACTGTGAAATTTACAGCGAGCGCATAGCCCCTGAGCTACGCTCGACACACATAATTTACTAATATGAAAATAATATCACAATTTAAGAGATAATTGTCCACCAGGATTTCGTATCCAGAATAGACTTTAAGGATCTTTGCAGACAAACAAAGCGAAATGGACATTGAAATAAATCTGTTTCTCAGCTTTATGGCTATTCTTACATCTCCTGCACGTAGAAATATTATTGTATATAAAATACAAATGCTATTTATTATCCTTATAATACTAAAGAATAAGATCAATTTCTAACCTGGTAATTTTTTGGTGCGGAAAGAAGCATTGGTAATCATAGATTTAGACATCGTTACCGTGGTTGTTGCTGGTGAAAGTGCTACACTTATACCCATTGGACCATCACAGGGTTGACCTGCACCATAAAAATATGTTATATAATGTCACACAGAAACATTGTTCAAACATTTTGATTTGTACCTACCTGCTGGGTTGTTCTTCAAAGAATTTATTACGGCGCTAGTCACCAGCATTACATCAGGAAACAGCTCATATTGTGCCCTCTGGTCTATATCTGTCAATGCTTGAAGTGCTAAAGTATAAAATTCATTGAACATCGCAAAGTATACTCCCTCTACCATTTCCAATAAGAAATTTGACGACACTGGTATTCGCGGGATAGATTTTGAATTGCCAATTTTCTTTTGAAATCCTTGTGTCATAATCCTGTAAATGTTATTTATTTAAAAATAATTTATAAAGTGCGTAAAAACGCCTATTCGATATAAAGAAGGCTATTACGAGGGGTGATCCAAAAGTAATGATGATGAAAATAAAACACGGTAATTAAAGTTAAAATAATAATTTGTTTTTCTACATAGTCTCCTAACAATACAATACATTTAGTCCATCTTTTTTCTAAACCCAGGATTCCCTTTGAAAAAAATTCTTTGTCTTGACCCTCCCAAAACGCTTCAACAGCGGCCATTACTTCGCTATCGTCTTCGAATTTCTTGCCTCGGAGGCGTTCCTTGAGCCGAGGAAAGAGGTAGAAGTCACTAGGAGCTAGATCTGGCGAATAGGGAGGGTGTTCGAGCAGTTCGAATCCCGTTTCTTGAATGGCAGCCATCGCAACTGCGGCTTTGTGAGCCGGTGCGTTGTCTTGGTGAAACAGCACTCCAGCTCGCAGTTTGCCGCGTCTTTTTTCCTTAGTGGCCTCCCGTAATCTTCTTATTTAGTCTGCGTAGTACGAGCCCGTAATAGTGGCTCCCTTTTCAAAATATTCCACAATAATTATGCCTTGAGCGTCCCAAAAAACAGATGCCATAACCTTTCCCCGCCGAACTTGAAACTTTGAATTTCTTTGGCGTCGGTGAGGAGGCTCGCTTCCAAGTCATCGATTGTTGTTTCGTTTCAGGATCAAAATAGTGGATCCAGGTCTCGTCCATAGTCACAAAACGGAACAAAAAATTTTCTTGATCTGCTTGGAACTTTTCGAGATTGACCTTCGAAATGTCAACTCGATTTTTCTTTTGCTCGTCGGTTAACATTCTGGGTACCCAACGCGCAGAGACCTTTTTCATATGCAACTCGTTCGCAAGGATTCTTTGACCGCATATCCTGTGACCTCAGCTACATGCCTGATGGTACTCTTCGATCTGCCAACACAACATCTTCGACTTTTTTCACGTTGTCTTCAGTGAGGGACGTGGATGGGCGTCCTTCGCGATGTTCATCTTCATTGGATGTTCTGCCCAGTTTAAACTCCTTGGCCCAGCGTGCAACTGTAGAATATGGAGGAGCAGAGTCCCCCAATGTTTCCACTAAGTCACTGTGTATGTCTTTTGAAGACTTTTTTTCAAACAGAGGTACTTGATGACAGTTCTAATTTCGTTTTTCTCCATGTTGATATTACTCTTTGACAGTTCGTATTCAAATAAGTGTAACTATTTATATGATTTTTTTAGGCTGACGTAGTGAGTATATAAGCAAGCAAAAAATATTTTTTTTGGATTTTTATGCGGACCTGAAGTAACCGATTATCATTACTTTTGGATCACCCCTCGTATTTAGTATTGGATACCCAACGTGTAAAAAAATAAATACATTTTGTTTGTTTCTTGAGAAAAAAAGGAAATTTTGTTAATGTTTTATATAGTGCCTAATGCACGCATTGGCATTATTGCTTTTCTAGTGAAATCAGTTTGGGGTACATCGGTTGAATGGCTTCAAAGTCTATAACGGACATAGATAGAAAACATGTTTTGTGTTTTAAATAGATAGATTGGCGTCATTGTAACCATTACACGCCTTACCATTGACATAATCGGGATTTACATTGCAAAACCAGTTTTATGCAGATTAAATAATTACACGAAAATAATTTTAATATCTATGAAACCTGTTACTTAAAATAATTAGTACCGTGAAGTCCAAGGTATTTTTGAGATCGTATCTAGCTGTCATCATAAAAAGCTTTATTTTGCATCACACAATGTCATCATGCAGATATTCTAAATATTGTAATAATTAAAAATATTTAATACATGAAAAATTTTTAACTTTTGAAACTTTATTACATAAAGATGTACAGTTATTTAGTAGTCCTAAATGGTTGAGTCAGGGAAATAATCTTCATATTAGGTAATACAACTCATTTTGTTTAATCGTAAAAACTTAACTTTCTTACTTTTAATACAATTTCTCATTTAATTAAAAAATATTACCTTGAAGCGGCGATACAGAAATGTCTAAGTGCTAGTTTTGGCAATAAGCTTAATTGTCTGTTGTAAATAAAAAGTAAAGCAGCCATCACTTTCAAACGATTTTGTGCATTAATTACTTCCACTTGAGATAATGGTCCCCAGCTTACAAGTTTAGTATTACATTCCTCCCATCTCCTTAATGCACTCTCCGTTAAGAACTGAGACCCTAGTGATAAAGGCTGAAACAATAGTGGTAAAACATTCAAATTATGACCGGATCTAAAACTTACATGCGACTAGAGACTACTGCAAAAGTTTTCGTTTAATTATCGCCGGAGATATTTTGTTACATACATTGAAAATATATTACTAAAATTACAATCTCGTTAAATTCCGCTCTATACACAAACTGCACGGAGCAGACAGAGCAATGAATCTACAGCGCTTTATTTGGGGACTTCTATTTTTGGACTTCACTTTAACCTTAACACTGTCCACTACCATTTGGGTGAAGCCGGCCTTGATCTTTCTTACAGAAACATTGGAATACTTCTTTGTATCTGAGGACAGTTTCCGTATCCGACGTCGGTAGGGATATCTGTTCTCGACAGTCTTAAAAGTACGGACCTATCCATCCTGTGGCTGCGCGTAGACAGCGACGATCATCCCTGCGACTACAAGTGCCTTATAGGTCCCACAGCGGTTATAACGTCATACACCAACTCATCGACTACGTCCGATGGCTCCAGATTCCGTGCTAAATACAACAGATCCCATCCGCGACAATCGTGATTCTTGGCGATTTCAACGCCCACCACACGTAATGACTCTTGGTTATCGGTTTAACCTTTGATCTAACATAAAATGTTTCTTCCAGACATGTCTACGCGGATTCCAGATGGGAAACGGGGTCGTTTAGAAGGTGATCTACTAATTTCCCTGCCTCTTAGATAGGCGGAAGCAAGTCCTGGCGGGACGCCTTAGCAGTAAGTTTGGTAGCATAGCGAGGTCTTCTATCGGGTTTGCACAAAGCGCTTGTTTCTAAGCTTCTTTCCCATGAGCTTCTGAGAACTTATACAATTTGATCACCAGTTTTCTTGCATATTGAAGCATTTAAGTCGTAGTAGACGGTACTTGCTCCAACTACACTCCTTTAAATATTGTTGTTCAACAAGCTGCGTGCTGTCCAGTATGCTATTTCTTCTGCATATCAAATGTTTCAAACCAGTACCAGTACATTCATTGTTATTGAGATGACAGCACTTGATATGTTTTTATACCGCCCGTTATATACGTAATATTTCTCAGAAACATATCATCGAGTCCCAAATGAAGGTTCGGCCGGTAGTTAAGGCCTCGCTTTGTGGCAATCCCTGGGGGAACATAGGCCATGTTCAGCAGTGGATTTGTGAAAGGATTGTAATGGATGGATGGACGTCGTCGTCTCGAACGAACTTGTGTCTGAAATAGACATTTGTTAAACATAGTATGGAATCGGGAACGACTAAATCTAATCCAGTTTAACCCTCAGAAGAGACAGGTTTTCGCGTTTGGGGATTAAAAGAACCCTTTGTCGTATCTACCAGGGTACTAGTACTCCCTTAACTGCCGAGCAACGTAATTTTCGGTGTCAACATAACGAATAACGTTCAATTCTATGGCCCTATGGAGGCCAAATTGGCCTCAAAGAAAAAAAAAAAGACATTGTCGTGCTCAGTAAAGTGGGGCAGATAATTCAAAATTTAAATGATTTTTATTGTATTCAGGAACTTTAGCTATATTTTATTCATTAGTAGTAAGTACTATTTGTCAATAGTACTTTAAACTGATATCAATCAGAATATAGTCATCTAAAATGGATATCACGTTATTACCACTCTAACAAGCATTTCACGCAACTATTCTCACAAACATAGTTATTAGTGCCACTGCACTCCAAGCTGGTTAATTTGAGAACAGCGTAATTTTTTCAACCAATGGTGAAGAATAAAATTACTTGCAATTGCAATATTTCAATTCCATGTGGCGTGGGTATAAGAAAATCTTTCAGTCCGTTTCATCTAGTGAGTGTTATAAAATGCTTTTATGGTAAACTCCAGCAGGACCTCTTGGTTTCCAATAAATTAACACTATCAATAGAAAAAAATAGGTAAAAATATTGTGTATAATGTATATTGTGCCATATAACTTAAAATAAGATTGGTAAAGTTCTATGTACCTATGTTCTATGTTCTATGTAATTAGCACAAATATCACAACTTTCATTACCTATGAACTCCCTAATGGCCAATGGCAAAAAATGATTTAATTATTAAGCGTCTAACTATGTCACCATCAAAGATATGAATAAAATAGTTTACTATATGTCATCTAATCATTCGCTTGATTAGATTATCGAAGTCCAGAAAAAAATCATCATACATAATTGAAAACTAAATTGACTAGCTATTGTAGTTGTAACGATTCGCCAATAAAGGCAGGTAAAGGTCTTATGCTATACATCCTAGTCTGATGAGAATTTTGTTCAAACTAGTGTATCTTTAATTCCTGACTTCTTTTGATTGAAGCTAAAATAACTCAGGATTTCAAACTCTATATTTTTATATATTTTTCATTTGTAAATGCTAGAAAAAAATATCAACAAAAATTTGTTTAGGAGTTCGAAATGGTCTTTTGGTAGATATGCATGATAGTATGATATGCTTTTAGGCTTATATGGGCAGAAAAAGAATTTTAAACTATAAAATTTTTAGCTATCATAAAAATAATAATCAATGTTAAGTAAAATATATTCTATTCTCATTAACAATCAAAGTTTATAATTGCTTCTATTACCTCATGATAAATTGAAGATTGAGCTAAAGATGGCAATCTAAAAGAAACCACTTTTGGTTTTCCACTTTCATCAACAACTTCAAAGTTATAGAGGCCTGAAATAAAATAAAAAATAAGTCGAGGTTAATATGTTCTTAACTGGCACTGTAGGATGTCTCCTTTATATAAATTCCATTTCCCGCTGTTCTTTCGACAAATTATTGCACAATTTGCCATTTTTTAAATAATTTGCATGTAGCGACGCTTAACATGAAAATTGGAAATGATTGTTTTGACATTTATAGGTGTGAATTGACATGTTAGTGACATGTTAGTGGTTACACGGGTTCCGCCCACTTCCCCGTTCTATAATGTAGTATATAGTATTCTATGGTTCACACATTCATGTGAGATTTTCAAGTATAATAAAATAAAAAAGGTTTTAATAATTTTCAGAAAGATTTAAATATTTAAATACTCCTCGTAAGGCCCAGTTTGATCAGAGAAGTACTTAATAATTTATGACTTTCGGCCCAATACGAAAAATGTCATCAAAATTACCGCCCACTGTCATCCACTGAAGAAAAATTGTATTTCCACTCCTAGATTAAAAATTTCGCACGTTTTGTATTTCATAATAGTCGTTAGTGATTGGCCTACTTGCCAGCAACATTTGGCACAAGAACAAGTAGACCAACCACAGATTATTCTTCATTCAAAACTAAATGAGCAAAAATGGAATCCACGCATAGTCATAGTGAGTTTATCTTGGTTTATCTAATAAATCCATTTATTTTGCAACAAATCATTTATAATTACAAAATTTAGATTTAACATAAATATTGTCTAACTTTTCAAGGTGTTGCTGTGCATGAAAAAATATTTAGATCCAAAAAATATGTGTTCGGACAATCACAAGGGTCCGGTAGGTACAATTACAGTTAATGATTAACTACTGTTAGTAGAACTAGTCTAGTAGTAGTAGTAGGCCAATCGACGTTAGTTAGTAAAAAGAATCGTATTTCAGAGAACTGAAGTAGTTTATTTTTAAATATTGATTTATATTTATTCCAGTTTTGAATGAAGAAGATATTTAGAATTTATCAAACGAAAAAAAATCGGAAATTGTAGCCTATTGATGAAGATTTGAATGAAATTTTAGACTTAAATCAGAACTTTCGTCTAGCTCGAGTGCTTCTAAAAGGCAAATCCAGAAACAATCCACGAAGAAATCCATCGTCATTACTCGTGAAACAGGTAACTATGGTCGTAGAAGAATTATAAGTCCCTTTGACAGTGACTCTACGACTTCTTTTCTTAGTCTGAATAACTATTCCTACACAAAAATATGCAATTGTCTCAGCCTACTTATTTACCATAGAACGTGAAATCTCTTAGAAAATTACATTTTTTGAATAATATGTAAATAATAAGTTTATAATTTTTTTGCTCATTAAAAGAATGATTCAAACTTAGTAGTATATTCTTCATAGATCTAATTCAAAAAAGACCAAATTTATGAAGGAGTATTATTAAAAAAATACAATAACCAAGATTCTTCAAACTGGATTATAGCGAAGAAATGGTTGAACATACATACACAATGAGGAGACAGTTTCAGCTGATTCAGAACTGGAAGTGAACGCCTCTAAAAAACTTGAAAGAGGAAAGCTTAGTCTACCATTACTATGGAGGAACCGACGTCCGCAAGCAGCAAAACATATGCCTTTATTTGTAAATAATGTCGCCATTTTCATTATAATAAATCTCGCACACATGTTTTAGTTTATTATATGAAATAAGGAGTAAAAGGAGTATAATGTCAATTTTTTTTAATTTTTATTTACTAAACTTGGCACGAATGTCAGCCATCACCTGATGACAAATAAAACTGTAGGTAAATGCAGCAACAAAGGCCCAGTGTGAGGACCAAAAGAATCGCGTCCAAAGTTGTAAAAATACATTTAAGGTGGTTGTTACGGACGGCGAGGGACGCCGCCCCGTGAGGTTACGGGGCGGCGTCCCTCTCCGTCCGTAACAACCATCTTGAATGTATTTTGTACACACCTCACACCGCAACGCGACACGTCTCCCGCACACCGCACTGCGTCGAAGATCAACGTTACGCGAAGCCATTCAGCGTGCGGCCGACCTCGCAAACTCGTGTGGGAACTCAACGCCTACTAGCGCCTGACCGGCAAAAGAAGAGCTAAGAGGTAAAGAAGAGCTCCAGACAACAAACAAAAGAAGAAATCCCTTTCAGTGAAAGGGATAGAATATAGGACTTAAGTAGAATAGAATTGTATAGTTTAGTATAGTACTGTCACGATACTATTGTAAATAGGAAAATAAATAGATAGTTTCGTTGTACCATTCTTTTAATAGAACTTCCCTAGCTAGTTGTTAGTCTCATATAGTTAATCATAAAGTCCATTGCTTCAGTTTAGTTATTGAAGTTAAAATCACACACTGTCCACTTGATCTCCATCGCCGCCGAATTACCACAAGATCATCAGAGATCATTATAGAAGATTATCGTGGACATCGTCGGTCAAGAGAGAAGATAGTCGATCATCGTCGGTCAAGAAAGAAGATCGAACATCTCAAATAAATCCACGTTTCTGAGTATAGTCCGTCATCGTCATACGAAACGGCAACCCATACGCGCGTCTTTTTGAAAACGATCGGAAGCCGCAACATGGGACAACATGCGTAAAACGAGAAGCCAGAAGGCCAGAAACGACCACGAAACGCCGGTAGGAGTAAGTGTCTTCGAGAAAGCCCTCGCGTCCCTCTTAGACTACTTATCGCCGATACCCACGCTCTCCGCCGCACCTCCGCCGACGCCGGCAGCTATGCCTGCGCACGCGCCCGCACCGTCGCGCTCTCCTATGCCCGTGTCAACGACCGAGGGAATATTGGAAATGAGTACATTCACACCGCGTAGACACTTGCCGCGATTATTGAAGATCTTCCGGTCACCGAAACAAGTTCGAAAATGCAATCCGCCGCGCCCGTAGTTATCGACGCTGTTGGTAGGCCCGAACCGCGCTCCCCGTCTGTTCGTTCAGCCCGGTCGACAGCTAGCGAGATTACGAGAATTAAACAGATAGAGTATAACACATCTGAAGAACTCGCCGCGATTAGAAGGAAACAGTTAGAGATTGAAGAAGATTTAATTAAAAATAAATACGCTAGGGACATCGCGTAGTTACAAGAGGAAAATTTGATTGCATCCGCGTAAAATATTGATGAACGTTTTAATTGTTCCAATAACTGTTTTTCAATTGCGATAATTGATAAGTCTGAAAGACGCTCTTGACCTTGTGTATTTTCTCAACAAATTTTACCTTTAACACACTTCAATTCATCACAAGGCACACTATTATCCTCCATTTTCACTAAAAATCTTTAAAAAAAAAGCATAAATTCAAGTAAGCAAACATAGTAAACATTGAAACGTGAAGTGAACTTGCAAACGTATCGGCCGCGCGCCCCCGCACTCGGCGACTGCATGCACACCAAGCCCGGCTTTTTGCTCCATACTAATTGCTATATAAACATTTCGTAGTCATATTTCATTATAGAACATTTTGCCACAGGTTAGAAAGGGAACGATCGTTTTCTCGGACGCCCGGTAAAAAGCCCTCGCATGCGAGAGAGACGACTAATCGCTAAACTCAACTCCATTTTTATGACAGCAGTATCGCTAAGTCTACGAGGCTATGACCTGTGTAGAACAGAGCAGCGCGTGGGAAATATGAAGTGGTTTGAAACAGTTTATGAGTTATTTTATTAGTTGGTATAAGTGACTGAACAGTTTGATAGGGCAAACCCGGCTTTTTGGCTTCTAAGGAGGCTTCGCCACTAATTGTACCAATCTTTTAATAGAATGTCCCTAGCTAGTTGTTAGTCTCATATATGTGTTAATTCTACAGTCCATTTGTTCAGTTTAGTTATTGAAATTAAAATCACACACACATAGTCCACTTGCTCTCTGTAACTGCACGATCCTTATCCCGAGTGTTGTATACGGCACATAAAGTATTTTGTTCTATCATTCATAGAACACTTTCTAATGAACTCTTTTCGGTCTGGGTGGTAAGCACTTCTTTCGTTTAGTTCTCCACGAAAAACATTGGGTGGTAATTGGTTACATCCAATTTTTGCCCTGGGCCTTATGAGGTTATAACTGAATAATCAAGCAAAGTTATAAACTATAAAATTAAACAGATAAGTTCTTACCAATGAGGAGAGTTTCTATACACCGACAGTTCTTAGTACTACCTTGTGCTACTGAACTTAAATATTTATAAATTAAGGTTGGAACAAACTGTAAAGTAAATCTCTGAAGCTCAGTTTCTTTTGATCTGTAGAAGCTGAATAATTGCACACAAACATTTTCAAGTGCCTGAAAGAAAAACATACATAAAATGTTTGCATAATTAATTTGCTCTCTTTTTCCCAAAAATTGCAATAGTATATTAAAAAAAATAAAGGAAAGTTAAAGTCCATATACGCCCCAAAGCTGTGCTCAGGCCTCCTCTCATTTTTGAGAGGATTACAGGGCAAGGAAATGACTGCAGTACTGCCCCAACATGTGTTGGCAAACTTCACAATTCTTTAAAATGTTTTTTTTTTATTTCTCAGGCATGCCAGTTTTCTCACAATGTTTTCCTTAACTGCCAAGCAGTTGGTTAATCAGCGTTAAAAATTGAGTTTCATTGGTGCCGGTATATAAAAAACATGGATTACTTACATACTGTTAAATTTAAAATGAACGCTTAGCCTCTAAGCTACTATGTCTCAGGGTTAACCCTGTAATAATACAATATTCATAAGAAGTGATTTTTAACCTGTTCATAAGCCTCATCTTTGTGGTTGGATTGTTGTTCTCCCTCATCTTCACTATATAACAGATTGAATACTGCTGTAGCAATCTCATGGTTATGTTCATGCTCTGCTGCAAAACTTTTTATTTCATTTTCTTGCAATGATGCATATTCATTAACCCATTCAGTAATTAAATGATTCCATTCTGACATGTCGGGTTTGTGAACAACAACTGTAATGATTAAATTATTACATTATACAAAAAGTAAAATAGGTATTCATTCATCATTCATGAATCTCTAACACAGGTTGCCTTATAGAAGCGTATTTGCCATAGTTGCCACACTCATCAGGCGGATTGACATTGCAATTTTCAAGATGTCAGGAAAATGAAGCTGTCCATTAACTGCTTTATTTCCCTATAAATTGTATTATGAAGTAATAAATTCTCTTAAATTGCTTGCTACACAGCTGTACTTTTCTCTAAACATATATTTATAATTATTTATTTCTAAAGCCGTACAGTTGGGATTGAAGGCAATTTTTTTCAATTTAGGCTTATTTAAAGCTCTGATGAAGGATAAAATCTACATAGTAGGTCATGTTTATAAAAACAAGGCTTTATAGCTTATACTTGTAGTGGTCCTTTTTAGAGTAGAATTTAATCTAAGTCACTATATCAAAGTTTTCAAATGACTCTGAAAATGTAGAACAAGCTCAGTATTACCACATGAAGCATTGGCTATTTATTGGCCTGTGCTGAAAACCTAGCTCAGTGACAAATGTCCCTTTTTCTTTCCACTACCGTAGTTAAGACTGCTCCATGTGATGTGAACACACACCTTCAGATACTTTAACAATCAAACTGGTTTCATCATCCCAAAGTAAATTTTTATGCATTTACTTAAAAAATGTTTTCTAGTTTTCCAATCCAAATTTAGAAACCTCTAGCATAGCACCTTGATTCATTCTACAGAAAAAAGTTTGTCTAATAATAAATAAATTTATACTTTTAAAGTGCCATTCAGAAAGTGCACAACTTACAATATAATACTTAAATATACAATTGTTATGAAAACATTTGGAAACAGTATGGTAACAGTTACATCATTACCAAGGATTATTATCAATCATGAACTCTTTTGGTGGTATAATAACCCTTACTAAACAATTTTTGCTAAATAAATATTTTTAAACTTTTAAATAGATAAGGTCTGCACATTTTCTGGGACTTTGTTGTAAAAGCGTACACCTACATGGCCCCATGAAGGAATTACAGAATGCACATCTCTATTTTAGTTCATTCAATTTTATTTTGAGTTAAACTACAAGCTACTGCTCTTGTTTTACAAGTGTTTAAGATGAAATAAATACTTACATTTCGAAGATGATTTAAAGTAATTAATGAAAATTCCGAAAATTTTGTTTGTTTAGTTAATAGTTTTTTTCATCATTAGATTTTGATTTATTTTTGAGAAACTGAAATAAGTTTCTGTGTAGGTGTGTAGTGTGTATATTACTCTGACCATAGATAAACATAAATAGATATGTAGCAAGCTAACTCTGACTCTGATCTGATCTGATCTACGGAAATAAGTCACGATTACGTCACAAGTGACATTGACAGAATATAGAGAGCATAGATAGGAGAAATTCTGCGTCTACGATAGAGAGTATGGAGTGTAGAGGTAACGAGTACAGACTCTGTACAAAAAAGTGCCCGTAGGAAAGCGTTAAATAAGGGTGACGCCACTGTAGCTACAATCTAAACTTTAAAGAACTTTTCATAATTTTTTATTGCATAGACTTTCACCATAATCCTTTTTACAATAATTATTTTATTGCTTTCAAAATTTTTTATGTTTAAAATCACTCGGAATATATTTTACGGCGATTTATCATACCCTGTAGCTATTCGAGCACTGTTGTGGAGAATTTTTGAACGGTTATTTACTGCTTACAGATGGACACAGATTCAACTATTCTCCTATGGGAGATTGTCCTCCTTTCCTCTATAGCCCATGATAAAGAACGAGAGAGCTATAATATATATAATAGCTCGAAGCTCAGAGTAATTACTAGCATAAAATAGGAACAAAATTCCTATAGCTGAATTCTTTATACATATATGACGTTTAGCATAGTACAAAGTAAGATAGTTATATTTTTACGTGGTAGAGCCACGCTGCAGCTTATGGTCGTAGCATGAATGGGTCTGCTCGACCGGCGAAGAACCACGCTCTCACAGTAAACCAGTTATCGATAAATTCATTTAGTCTATGATTTATTAAAATGAAGGATTTTTATTAATCCGGTTCGTAATACTTATTTATATCAACGAAAGTTTAAGGAAGCTTTATCTGACATCTTGCAATAAAAACATAGTCGAATAATGCGAAATTTCGTACTATTTTTATATAATTTAAAATAATTCGTCAAAAGGTTACAATAAAATCTACTTAAATTCAGCCGATATATTTCCGCCAAATGAACCCTAGACTAAGTATGGGTTTCACAACGAATAACAACGGTGTTTGTTTAATCGACACTGAGTTTGTGTCACAGAACGTACACAAAGGACACTGCTCCAAAAGTTTATTTTTATAAAATAAGTGTGCCAAACGAGTACACAGTCCGCCTGATGGTAAGAGGATGCTGTGACCCCTAGATATTTACATTTATCATCGATTAAGAATTAAAATTCCGATGCATTGTCACCCCTGAGTACCATCATGGAATGCCCTGTTTCCAGTAAAAAGGGTCACGGGTTCTCTACACTCACGATACGAAACACAGCAGCCTTAAACTGCTATTTTACGCGGGAATTCTGTGAGAACATAGTCTTACCCCGGTCGAGCCGATCCGTTCGTGCTACAATAATTATAGCTACAGATTGGCTCTACCACGTAAAGTAGTATAGTAATATCAGTGTCACGACCGCAGTCGGCCTTGTATATTGTCGCTAGATTACAACGATTAGTATTATCCGTATTTCTCTTTTCTCCTTCAGGATGTTATCTATCAGACCTTAAATATAGCCAAACATAAATCCACTGCTGAACGTAGCACGTCTCGTCTCTTACGTCCCTTAACAACTTGTTTGGCAACAATTTTTAATAATTTTGAGTTTTTATCAAGAAGATTATTCATTTCTCTCTGTTGCCTATCTCTTATTTCATTTCTCTCTGTTGCCTTTTACGATACCGACAGGATGGTATTGGGTCTTAGGGATTCCAAAGAATAATATATATTATTTGGTAGGAGATAGGGAATTTTTTTTTTTGTTGAACAGCATTATCCCGCCTCAACTTTATAATTTAAAAATATTTTTATCCAAGCCGATAAAGTTTTATTGAATACAGTCGATTGTTTTATTTTTCGCTAAGCAAGTGTTAAATCTATATAAATAAAAACTAATAGACGCATGTATGAAAGATCATCATTTAAGAAAGGCTGGACAGATTTTGATGAACACTCACACTCACAATTGAGCCCGGTAAGTGGCGTTGTTGTCGAGATCTAACAGTAGTAAACAGTCAGCATATAAAATTGGGATTACAAATGGGATACAACTAGCTCATGTACCACGTGTCTATCAAGTCTTAGTAGTGATACCTCCCTAATTATATGCTTTTAAACATTGTGAAACGAATATTTGAAATGTAATATAATAATCGTCTTCACTTGATTTAGAAAACAATTTATTTGATCGTTCGAATAGTAATAAGTCTCGTCCTATTTTGTTTAAATATTTTAGGCATATAAAGTAATAAAAGTAATTATTTACACAAAAACGAATATATCGTTATTCCTTCCCAATTAATGCCACAAAGCACGGCCCCGAGTCACTGGCATCCACCAACTTCTTGCATTCCCTAGATTAGAAGGTCGTCACTCTATCCAGTGAGGGGGGGGGGGGTCGACCTACACTTTGCCTACAGGTACGAAGCTGCCACTCGAGAGCCATTTTTCTCCATCGGTTATTGGTTCTTCGAGCTATATGGCCGGTCCATAGCCACTTTAGCTTACTAATCCGTTGAGTTTTGTCGGCCACTCTGGCTCTACTGCGGATATCCTCATTTCTAAGTTTATGTACTAAGGATATATAAACTAAGTTGCAAACCTTGCGAACGAAATTACTTTAGATTAAAGATGTTATGTCTTGTAAAGTAGCGTCACACATAATACGTACTACTAAAATAGGGATGCCATTTTTCTAGTAAATTAGAACATACGAGTGTACTTACTCTCTTATTTGGCATAGCATAAAGCGACCAAAGATGACCACTTGACATTTTTTTTTCTCCGCATGAATTACACGTAATATCTATCAATAGATTTGTCTCTTTTGCCTCATTTTAAAATTAAATTAGTAAAAGTGAGACAAGTATATTGTCTCAATTCATGTAGAATTGTAGGTTCTCTCTGTGCATATGTATGCATTATAATGCATACGTATGTACAGAGACCTAATTAGTGCATAAAAAATGCACTAATTAGGTCGGCATGCCCACAAAGTATGACATTGACAGGTACTGTCTGTACTACTAAGAAATTCAGGACTTCATAGGCGTGATTTTACTGACAGCTATCGCAGAGATCAAGTTATCTTTTATACTATAGTATATGATGTACTCTTATTAGTTTGTGGTACACGTAGACAGAGAAACCTATAGACTAATGATCAGCGTGGCCTCGAGTGAGAAAGAACGATAACGAATTTTTAGGTTATACAATAATCTTTATGACTTTTAAACACATTTAGATAAAAATTTTAATTGTTCTAAGAACTGAACTGAACAAGATTCACCAATCTTAAGCTCACAAAACACTTTTTTCTCACTTAAACCAACTTGTAAACTCCTTAAATCGCTACGCTGTTAAAGTTCTTTAGCAAACTGTAGACTTTGCTAAACAAAAAATCCGGCACGGAGAAAGGGACAAACAATCACACCGCTCTATCTCATTTCTATGCAAGACGTATGCATAAATCTATCCTTTTCGTGTGCAAATGCGAAAGAAGGCGTCAATTTGTCTGTAGGTTTCTCTGTCTACGGTGGTACATGATTCAGTAAAATTAAGGACTTTTATTTTTCCGATACGTAATACTTATTTATATTAACGAAAATTTATGGAAGCTTCATCTAATATATAATTAAAAATATGGCTTGTAAAGATCACTATGATATCTACCTCAATACAGCTGGTATAT